CAGACGATACACCGTCCACCACCACGTGAAGCGATCTGCCTGAAAGAAAACTCGATAAGAAATGGCATAGCTGAGGTGGTAAGCCGTATGATGGTAGTTTGTGGAGGAGTCCTTCGTGCCAAACACGGTCGAATGCTTTCGATATGTCCAACGCGACAGCTAGAGATTCCCCGTGTTTTTCTATTGAAGATTGCCATAAATGGGTGACGTAGGCAAGTAGATCTTCAGTAGATCTTCGGTGGCGAAAGCCGTATTGTCTATCATTAATGATTCCTGAGCTCTCCAGATATTTGATAAGCTCAATATTGATGGCTTTCTCCATCACTTTGGAGATTACTGATAACAGGGCAATGGGCCTGTAGTTGTTCGGCAGGTTCTTGTTTCCTTTTTTGGGGATTGGTTGGACTCTAGCTGTCTTCCAGTATGATGGAAAAATACCCGACCTGTACGAGATGGTAAACAACTTGCAGAGAATCGGTGTTAATTCTGGTGCACATTTTTTGAGGATCATGGGTGGAATTCCATCAGGACCGTTAGCCTTATTCGTTTTGAGACCAAGCAAAATACGTCTGATAGTGCGTTGACGGAAGACGATTTCGGGCATTCGACACTCAACGGGTGGAATGTCTGGCGGCAGTTTTCCTTGGGAATCTAAAGTAAAGTTTGCTGCGAACATCTCTGCAAAAATATTTGCTTTCTCCTGCGATGTTGTTGCTAATGTGCCGTCGGATTTGGACAGTGGTGGAAATGAACTATTAGTGAAATTTCTTCCGACCGCTTTACCATGGACTACAGAAGATAATCTATTCAGTAATCTTTGCAATTACTCGACTGAAAAAATGTCGCCCAGATTAATTTGATAAGCATTTCTTCCATGAATCAAAGAACAATTACTTGAGAGAAAAAAATGGTGCTCAGATAAATTTAATAAGTATTTTTCCATAAATTAAATGACTACAATGCTTTTGTCACATATTTCATGAATTTTCATGTCACCTGACTTGATTGTCTTCTCCCAAACCATTGTCGTTCTACCTAGTTAGGTAGTTTTTCATTTAGATCGACAATGCCCAAACATACTGGTTGTGCAATAATGTGCATAGCCTTCCTCAAATTTTGAATTTTTCTGATTTCATATGCCTTTTTACGACATGTGGAGTAATTTTCAAATCGATTCTACTCGATAACGGTGCTTCCTATCGGAGTTGAACAAGAGGAACTTTTTCATGCAAAAGGCTTCAAAGTTTCATAAAATCATGCTGAACACGTTCGCTACCAGGCGTCACATATATGTGACAGAAGGGTTCCCACGTACGACCGCTGACACACATTTGTGTCGCGAGTACAGAGTGTTTCAATTGGATTTCTAAAATCTGTGGTCTTGATTGTTGTTTTGTTCGTTGCCCTATGGTCTGTGAATAGGTTCGCCCCATATCTGTGACGAGTGGTCTGTGGATCAGGAGGACCTGTACATTGTTAAGTTAAGTTTATCTAGACTGTGCGTGATCTCGTATTGAATAGCTTTCAGCAAACATTTATTTGTTTGAGATGTTTTAGTGATCCCTACCAAACATAAGGCTACTATGGGCGAAATAACTGACAAACGGAAAAATAAAAAATTGAAACCAGTTCTGATGGCCCAAGAAAGTGTTTGGGATCACACGTTAAAAGGTAAGGCCCCCGTCATTCCTTGCTCGCACAAGACTTTCGAAGACTTTTGAGGGTTGCTCGTAAGGGGGCAACCGAATGACCGAATGACGGATAGAACAAATTTTTATAATTGATTACAATTCGAATATGTTAGGGATTGACAGATGTGATCAAATGGTTTCATATATACTATTCATCTCCACGCAAATATATGTACGCTGGTATCTGAACATATTTTTTCATCTATTTGATTTATCAATGTGAAATGCATGCTGGTTATATAATAAAGTACATCTGAAGAAAAAAAACTGCAATTCCAAGAAGATATATCTTAGGAGTTTCTGCAAACTGAAGTTCAGGCCTCTACAAGTTCTCGAGCACAGACTACGAACAATTATTTCCAAAAAAAGTAAGATACGATGCCTTGTAGAACATGGTATCCACTACTGAAAACTGAACATGAAAATGGTAGATTCAAGATCAATTAATGAAAACATCCTGTAACTCATTTGTAGACTAAAATCACTCATTCATATGCCAACATCAGTATGACACTGAAAAGTGTCAAACTATACGCAGCACAACTTTCAAAGAAAAATAATTTGCATTTACATGTTGAGAACGGGAGCAGAATCGGTCCCGAAACGTCCAAAGATAAGTACAAATTCGATATTTTTTCAATATATCTATATTTCTTTCCTTCAAAAATTTTTTCAAACAAATTGTCACTGACAAGCTACTGGATTTTTCTTTTAGACTCCCTGATAGAAAAATTTGTTAAACGCAGTGACATTTTGGGGCTAATCATCTGATTTGTCCCTCTACAAATTTATTGAAATAATACGAATACTTTTATTTTATAGAAACGAGGAGAGAAAATCCCAAAGAACCAAGTAAAATGAATTTTTCATGTTGTTTGAAGTGAATGTATCACATAGTGACAACAAAATCTATAGTATATGACCATACCGACCGAATCGCCCCCTGGTCTGTGGTAACGAATTGCTCAAATACCCTTGGTAGCGAACGTGTGAAGTTGCAAAAAACCGCCCTAAAAAGATATATATAGTTTGACCCATTTCTGGATGGAATTTTCAAATTATTATCATCGCATATTATTAGGCATAAAAAGATTGGCCGATTTGCAGAATTTTATAGTACTGCTATCAACAGTTTCGAAGATATAAAATAAAAACCATCTTCAGGGTACCACCTTCAAGGGGCTATAGCTCGCTTATGAGACATTGTTCGACCTATGTTTATAGGAACTTTTTTTCATATTTCAATAATAATAATGATAAATTTCATTCAATAAGTATCTACACAACATCAGTTACATGATGTAGTACCATGCGTGATTGTTATACATCTAGTAATAATCATTGAAAAAGACCACATTCAATGTCATAAAGCAACCAGTGATAATACAATCAAAGATTGAAATATGACCTTGTTCTTCCACATGGCCTTGAAAAATCCTGAAAGCTAAGATCCTATAAACTAAAATAACCTAGGTATGTATTATGTGAAGTACTTATATAGTTGAAATCATGCGCAATGAGTTCAATCGTTCAATCTGCTGGTGGATTATTGCACGCTAATTATGGGACACTCTGTATTCACATTCCCTATAGAAATATGAATTCACTACCACAATAGGAGTGTACTGAGATACAGACAATATACATGAGTCATCGTATATTAGTTGCATTGGATTAATTATTGCAGTAGATTTAGGTCTTCAAGCGTTGTCACGCGTAATTCATATTATGAAATATCGTGAATTCCAGACAGACGAAATTATTTGAATCAGTTAACAAGTTTGGGTTAGTCCTACTTTAAAATAATGAAATAATCTGTTTTACCGAAACAGGATCATAATGCAGTCGAAAAAATATGATTTTCTTTGGGTTCTGAAATTTCATCAATATCGTTCGTTGCCTTTTCACGGTAGGAATAAAAAACTATTTATTTTCCTCAGTCAATAAGTTATTGAAAATGATGATTGATGGTCGAGCATTATTGATTTTATATCCAAATACTTCACTAGTTTTCCATTTCATTATGATGGATATTTCGATCGAAAGCAAACGTATATTATGAAAAACATGATGACACATTGTCATAACATTCGATTATCAATCAAAAGACTTACTACAATACTATTAAAACCTATCAATAATGTACAATTGTTCATTGTTAACCTTGAAATCGAATTAGTTTTTTATTCCGATTTAATGTGTTCATTTCACTATGATGAGCTCATGAAGTGTTCGAAATAATCATTGTAAATAGTTTCGCAAATGTTTGATCCATTCAGTAATATGTAACTAGAGATTATTTGGTGAAAAATTAAATTTCAATTTGTTCTTGCATTTTGATCTGAATTCCATCTTCTTTCTGAATTTTGAATTCACTGTGAATCATATAAGGATATATTCAATTTCCAAACTGATGGGCAAATCAACTGTTCCTTCTGAACGTTTCAAATCACTTCGTAATCTTATATTTTTGGAAATACTAGTCCAATTATAATTCAAGATGTGACATCGACAGGGCGATACCTAGACTCCTTATCATGAAATAAATAAACTTCTGGCATATTGTAATGCTTCATTCAAAAATTTATACATAATCATATAGACCCCGCCCGACTCTGATCATCGGGCGCAAGTTCTACACCTCGCCTACCTGTTGATATTTTTTCTTGTCATCATTTGCACACGCAGAAAGAAGAATAAAACAAGAATTGCTTTTTATTTTACTACGAAAAACATCAATGATAGAAAATAAAATATACTCTATGAATACGTTGAAATAACCTAATAATCTGTTATTAGGCATCGTGGTGAAACTAAATGCGAACAGTTGAAAACAATCAACACAGCATCATGGTAAAATGTACTACGAATATTTTCAGAGAAACATCACAGTATTTGATTCTATGACCAGCTAGAATACCTCATTTTGTGATTTTCATCAATCCCGCTGTTGATTTCGAGTGCTGAATTGATTACCATAGTAGTTGATAGTGAGCTATATCTCATATAGGTATCTAGATTGCAGCACCATGGGAACTGATTAAAACAAGATTACATTCATGTAAAATATCAATTTCGAAGTATTTTATTCGACGATCTATTGTCTTTTATATTTTTGAAGGTCAGCTCAAGGAAAAAGTGTGAAATTCTCTTTCACATCAACTGGAAGTCATATCTATCCCATAGAAAATAGAGAAACTGAGGCTATAGGTATATGTATGCGTACATTTCTATTGATTTTTTCACCTCCTTTATTACAACCATAATCCAACAAAATGCTTGAATATATCATATAAATTATTATATTACCTTTAGATGGTGGAAAACTGCCTATTGAAATTGCCATTCCTTCAAGATAATGGTCCATGATTGTAATATCGAATTGCCGATTTCTGAAATGGAAAAATATTAATAAGTAGGTATGAATAGGTATGAGTACTTATAGTGTACCTATAGCATACCCATCACCTACCTACAGCCTTACTTACCTAGTAGGTATACCTACCAACCTTTAATATAAGTAACACTTGGATGATCCATTAGTGTGAATTATTTTACTCTTACCTATATGTTACAATGTTACTTGTAGTGTGCTGTCATCTTAATTGTTACCTGCTATACGTACTTCGTTTCAATGATTTTCATTCTTTATTACTGGCAATTGTCTTCACTTTTGATATGTATCTTGTGTTGTGATATCTTATTATGTTTTTTCGTATTATACATACATATAATTTTTTTTTATACTTAATGAGCTACAACATGGTTTTATTTTACCATGTGATATAAGATGACTTACCATATGTACACACTGTACCAAAATGGCTAATAAAATATTGATTTATTTATTTATTTATATGATAGAGATTTAGATAGCTTATTGTGTTGGATGATAATTCGTACAAAAATGTACCTAGGTATAAATTATTGCATAATCTTTATTTCTGAAAACAAATTCCAGTATTTTCATACATACCAATACTTAGTTCAAGTTTCACAGATACTATATATACGAGTCGACCTGAGTCGAGTGGGCTAAGTACGTAGTTTGTGGGAAAAATCTCCAGTTCTCTGAACTTTCATAGCGTCGTATACACATCTTTGGTGCCCAATGATAGTTTCAGCATAAAAATATGCTCATGATATGGTGCCATGGATGGCCTCTACTTCCATCTTACATGAGCAATGATAAAATATCATCTGCTTTTATAGCGTCGTATAAATTATCTGACCCCTATAATAATCTGATACCATAGATGAAACACACCCTTATCTATGCTAATACCTAATGAAAACTACATCTATACTAATCTGATACCTTTCAAAAACCACGTACCTCACTTGTTTCAATACACAAATTCTAGTACCTACATGCGAAAACATTGATTTCCAGGGTGAATGTTCAGGTCATGTCTAGAAAAAAGAACATTCCAGTTGAGGTATAACTATTTATGATGAACATAAAAACCTCCTCCTCTTCATTTTGGTGTGGGTGGGGTTCGAGACGTTCGAGTAGCCTTTTTTTTTTAAGAGTGACCTTGGGAGGATTTTCCGGTAAATTCTTACACAGCTACCCCTCCTAACCCCTGAAAATCGAACCCACACACCCAAAAAAATAGGTGCTGCGGGTCGAATTGTTTATTTGGGTATTGAGAACGAGTGTACAGAAAATCTTGCTTTCTATACGAAATGCGTTTTTTTTCTGATATTTTCGGTGTACCGCTAGCACTATCCGCCACAGATGGCGTTTTGTGTATATGTTTTCATGACCAACCCTGTAGAAAACTGTAGAAAAGAATCGTCCAGGGGTTCGAGGTATATAATCCGACGTGGCTCTCCGTCTATATGGAAACTGCACTGAATATTATGATCAACCTACTCGAGGACCTTGGTTTCAGAGGTGTTGCACTTGATTTATTGAAAACATACCTCGAAAATAGAGTCCAATTTGTTCAAATCAATGATTCATTGAGTGAGGCTGCTCGTATAGAATATGGGGTCCCACAAGGCACAGTCTTAGGTCCAGTCCTCTTCTCTATTTACATAAATGGCCTCCTGAATTTAAATAGCACTGGAATTGTGTCGTCTTTTGCCGATGATACCGTTATTCTGTATGAATCCGACAATTGGACGAAAGTGAAAGAAATCGCCGAAAGAGATTTAATAAAAATAAAAACTTGGTTTGATCAAATGTCCCTTACAATTAATTTTGGAAAAACAAAATATGTACCGTTCAGCTGCAACTCATCCAGAATACCTTATAAAACATTGGATGTCAAAATGAAAGATGAGAAAGTAACCATTGAAGAAGTCAATCATTTGAAATATTCAGGGGTAGTGATTGATCGAAACTTGAAGTGGAATATCCACATAAGATATTTAGTACCGAAACTTAGATCGATACTCTTCAGATACAGGAAACTCAAAAGCATTTTGAATATTTCAGACATGAGAACAATATATCACTCACTAGTCGAATCCCATATTATATACGGCATCGCGGGATGGGGTGGTACATATAAGAATCATTTGAAGCAACTAGAAGTCATTCGAAAAAAATTTATAAAAATAGCATACAGAAAAAAAAATACCTATTCAAGTGATCATCTCTACAAAGAAAGTGGTTTCATGGATATCAGACAACTCTATATTCAAAAAATTCTCTTGATACAACACAAAAATAGAAATGAACTGATTACTATCCAACAAAAATATGATACTAGACAGAAAAAATCGAAGCGAACACAAACCTTGAGGACTAAAAAATCCAATACACAAAAGTCATATATCTATCTTGCTCCATATATTTACAGAATGCTGCCTACAGAAATAAAAGATATATGCTATGAAAAACACTTCAAAATAGAATTAAAAAAATGGTTGCTACATTCTTCTAGGTCGCTGTTACATAGACTTGTAGAAGACATACAAAAATAATTGAGTAATACCTATTAAACATGAGTTTATATTACTATTGCATATATAATAATTTTATATAATTATATTATAATTTTGATTGTCGATCAACATTCACCTACCTACACTGATTTCACTACTCTATTTATTGTAATTTTAGAAGTTTCATTGTATTGTGTGAGTATTTATTACTATCTTGTGGTTTAGATAATTTTATAGTAAATATAACGTATAGTATCAATTTAATCTATGTTTAAATATCTTACCTGATTATGTTATAATAGTTTTGTTGTATAATGTTTCCTCATTTTATATATACATGTATTCACATCAAAAACAAGAAAAAAGTATTGAGTATACGGAGTTTTCACCCACGAACTAGTCGAAAGACTTCAGTGGGATTTTCTTCTTATTTTCAATTCAATTCTTTTGGAAATGATGTTGATAACTTGTTATTATTTTGAATTTGGAAATAAATTATTATTATTATTATTATTATAATGCATTTGGACCGTTTTTTCTCGGTGCACTGTCGATTTATTTGGCGCATTATTGCGACAGAAAACTTGACGTAATTGGCGAACTGTTTTCGCTAAACTTCCATCATATTTCTGTTTAATGTATTTTCACAATAAGTATTGAACGTTGTTTTGATATATGGTCTAACAACTAACCAAAAAGTCACCGAACAAATCCTTTTAACAAAATGGTAGCAAATTTAAATCTGGCGCTCTTGTTGGGACTCCCTCTGATAATAATAATATATATTTTCCGATATCAGGAAATACTGTCATCGATATTTTATGAAAGTCAAAGGTGTTGATATTTTATGAGAAATCAATAATTATCTCACTATAATAATTATTGTTGTCTGAATGCTTCCTGTTAGTTGAATTTTTCAGTCATTATAATAATTGCCTGTGATGTTATTATAAAAATAAATGTTCATAATAGTTTATAGAATCGCCAGGTAACAGCTAATTATGTTCTAATGAGTATATGGTATACCGATCCATAGTATATACTGAGAAAATAGTTCACTCATTGGATCAAATACATACCAAATGTTGTTTCTGTTGATATACGAACGATTGAGACTTCTAACAGGGGTCGTTTTTGTCATGATATTATAAGCGCCATAATGGGTATTTGGGTATAGATCCTTGTATTCTTATATTTTGTGAACTATGCACCATTTTGGTTGAGAGTAGGGTTGCCAATTTGTGAGTTAAAATCAACATTTGTGAGTTACTTCAGGGACTGTGGGTGATTTTGTGAGTTATGGCCAATTGCTAGTTATTTGTGAGTTATCGGACGTCAGCGAAATTCAAATTAAATGACATGCATTGATGATCTGAAATCCACGCTTCACAGACAGTAATTTAGTATTTCATCATTTCTCATTCATTCGAGAATATACATGCCGCCATTGAGCCTTCAACCATGATGGAAAGAAGAAAAAAAAAAGAAAAAGAAGACAATAACAGGTGACAGTATACATGTGCTGTGCTTTTCTGAAATTTTACACTTTTTAGACCCCCTTCATACAGGGTTTCTAAAAATGATCGTTACATCGTGGTAGCCGTTGAAATATTTTCTCCATTTGCCGCCTTTCATTTATGGGGATTCACACATTCGAATTTAATTTCTGACATCAATGATTATACTGTCATAGCTGATAAACTCACAATTGTCAGTTTTTCGTTAAAATTCTCAAACGATTCTGTTTTCTACTTCGTGATTGTCGTGTTGAAAAGATGGATGGCTTATTCCTCGGAGCAGAATACATTTATTGTAATGTCTTATTTTCGAAATGGCACATCCATCTATGGTGGATGGAGTTACTCGGTAGTAGCCTGCAAGGATGAGTACCTGGCGAAATATCCTAATGTACAGATTCAAGAATCTTCTTTGAAAGCCCACATCAGAACAGTGATCAACAGATTCATCCAAACTGGAAACGTTTATAAAAATAAATCAACAGGAAGGCCCCGAATATCGGAAGAAGTGCTCAAGAAAAGATTGCATATGCACCCTTACAAGACCAGTGTACTACAGCACCTTCTGCCAATAGATATCCCACGTCGTCTGGAGTACTGCCAATGGTTCCAAAATAATCTCAACGATGACCAGCTATTGGACCTAACATTTTTCAGCGATGAGGCTTGGTTTCATTTGTCGGGATACGTGAACTCACAAAATTTTCAGTTTTGGAGATCTGAGAATCTCTACAATTTCATTACACCACACGTGCAAATTTAGAATATTTACAAGAATTTTATGACAACCGTGTGATAAGTCGAGGAGTTAATCCTTCTTTTCCAACACGTTCTCCAGATAGATATTCGAAAGACGAAGTATTCAAGAAAGACAATAATAACCTTGAAGAGCTGCAAGCCTCAATAACACATTGCTGCCAAAATATTGGCCCGGAAATGCTGAGGAACATTTTCGACAACAAACGGTGAAGAATTTTGAAATGCTTGGAGAACAACGAAAAACATTTTGAACATTTGATGTAGGTTCCATTGTTGTTCAAACTCCAATATTGGACTCTCCTTTCTTTGAGATACATTCCCATAGTGTATGCAAAACGATATAAAAAATAGAGATCCTGAATGTGATCACTTCCTCTCTTTTTGGTCGTTAAATGTTGTTAACAGCATTAATACAAAGCGGAAAATGGAAAAAAATGTCAACAGCTACTACGATGTTACGATCATTTATAGAGACCCTGTATCTACGAAGTTTCTCAATGATAATGTCAAATTGAAATCTGATCCCATTGATAATTTTTCGCAAAATCCATTGGCACACTCAATTTTATTTCTCGAGGTATGCATGGCTTTGGAGATATGACTCAAACTTACGATTTTTTCGATTCATTCTCATTCTTCAGATTATAATATATGAATATGTAATTTTCTCAAAATGCTACAAAATCACTAGAACATCGAATTTCGATAATGCTATGGATTTTTTATGTAAAAATGTTCCAATTGAAGGAATATTACTTTTCATATTTCCATGAAGAGGACAGAAACATTACTAACACTAATTTACTAACAATACACAAGAGGTATACGTAACTTATAGCAACAAACCAATGAATAGTAATAATAAGTTCATAATGTAGTATAGGCACATGAATGAAGATTTACTGAAACAGTCATCTAATTCACTCATCTGTATTAATCTTCCTCGTCGCTGAGTAGTTGGTGTTTTGATACTTTGGTCCTTTCTCGAAATCTGGGATCGTATTCCAAGATTTCTCC